CTGCAATGGCTACTGGGCTGAATCTTTAATATGTTCTGCTTTATCTCTGCCTAATTTCCACTAGATAACCGAGCCTTTAAGCTGCTAATGCTAATATGGATCAGTTATTATATGCTTTCCAGAAATAGGGCACAGGGAGAATGTAGTAAAACCCAGTTATCTTTATATCATTTTTGACGTGGCATGGAAATGGTTGAGCATGTATTGTTAGAGTTGTTCCATGGAATCCCTAATGTGGACTTTGTGTAGAAATGAAATCTCTAAATTAAAGAATGGATATCTGTCAGAGCTGCCTCAGGTCCCAGCTCACAGAGGACCTACGCCAGTATCTCTTTATATACAAAAGTCTTTATTGAAGTTCATTATTGGTTTTACAGCCGCGGCGCGCAGCCCTACGTCTGAAACCCTAGACCGTCGAAGCTCCATCTGAGTCTCCTCCCCCTAGACACCAGTTTAAGACCCTAGCCTTGCTCCACCTCTTCCTCTGCCCCCTTTTCCTCTGGGTCCGCCTGCCCGCCGGGGTTTCCCCCTTTCTGGACTCTTCCGACGCTGACTCCCCCGAGTCTTCCCCCTCCCTCCGGTGGGCTTTAGGACCTGGTTCCCAATCCGGGCTTTCTGCTGTCCCGCGCGCCTGTACATTTGAACTTGGCGCGCGCGCCCAGCCTGCCACCTTCCTTCTGACCGTTATACTGCTTCTGTTGCTGTTTGCCGGAGGAGAGGCTGACTCTGACCTATGAGACTCTTCCCCCCCACTACGCTCCGGTGGGGAAGCTGGCCCTGATTTCCAGCTACTGCTCTGGGAGTCTCCGCTGGCCCCCTGCTTCTGGTGTGTCCTCCCTGGGACCCCCCTTGCCCTGGCCATCGGCGCTCCCTTCTGGGAATCATCTGATTCACTGGAGAGGCTCATGGAATCTCTCGGGTCACTGTCATTCTGCCCTCCGCTGCCCTCAGATTCTTCCCCTTCGCTCTCCATTTCCTCTCTCCCCTGCGCCTCTGCTCCTGAGCCCCTGACATCCACCCCCCCTCGAAGCCCCCCTTCCCCCTCCCCTTCTTCTGGTGCGGGTTCCGGGTGCTCCCGTGCTGTGGGGGTGCGTGCGGGGTACAGTTCTTCCCCCCTGGTGTGCAGCTCGCCAGCTAGATCCGGCCAGTCCGTGATAGGCTCGTCGACGTCAATCCCCTCTGCTTCCATCTCTCTGTAGCTGTGCTCGAATGCAGGTTCCTCCCCCAACCCGTCCATGTCCGCCTCACCCCCTGGCACCTCGGGCGAGGTTGCGTGTAAGAGTTCCCTGCTCCACCCAACTTCCGGTTGATTGTCCCACCAATACGAGCGGTCCGTGCCAGACCCCGAGAGCGATCCCTCTGGGGAGCTTGTGTCTGGCGCCGGTTCCTCCGCTGATGAGAACCCCTGGAACGTGCTGGCGGAGAGTGTGGGTGTGAAAAGCCAGTCGTCGAAAAAATCTGCCGGCATAGGTCTGTGAGGGAAGAGAGCATGGAACTCGTCTTTGAGGTACCGCTCCTCCAAGGCATAGTCCGGTACCCACCTGTTGGCGCTGGCCGGGGTACCTTCCTCGGCGAGGAGATATTCAACTCCCTCTTCCCCCCATCTCGAGTCCAAAATCTCCGTGACCTCGTTGAGTGGTGTCACCCTTGGTGACCCCTCCCCTGTTGGTGATTTGCTGAGTGGGTCTGGTGCGGCCCTTGGGGTCTGAAACCTGTGGGGCTCCTTGTAGGGTGTGAGCACCGACCTGTGAAAGACCGGGTGCATTCTGGAACCCTCCGGGAGCGTCAACGGGAAAGCCACTGGATTGATCTGCGCCTCGACTTGGTAAGGCCCTAGCTGCTTGTGTCTAAGCTTCTTCTTAGCTAACGTTCTGGCTGGCACTGCCTGGGCTGCTAACCATACCCAGTCCCCCACCTGGATGTCTTCCCCGACTCTCCTGTGCCTGTCTGCCTGCACTTTGTAGGCTTGTTTTGCTAGTTCTAAGTTCCTTCGGAGTTGCTCGTGGACCTCCTGCAACTCTGGTGCCAAGTGCTCTGCCCCCTGTGGCTCCCCCTCCCCCTTCATCTCTAACCCCGGGAAGGTTCTGGGATGCCGCCCATTGTTGGCGAAGAACGGTGTCACCCCTGTAGACGCGTGCTTCGTGTTGTTGTAGGCAAACTCGGCCAGCGGTAGGTAGTCCACCCAGGTCGAGGGTTGTTGGTTTGCGTAGCATTGCAGGTACTGCTCCATGATGGCGTTGACCCTCTCCGCTTGTCCGTTGGGCTGCGGGTGTCGTGCCGACGCTAAGTTGATCTTGACGTTCAGGATGCCTAGCAGCTTCTGCCAGAAACTCGAGACGAACTGGCGCCCCTGGTCGGATAGGATGGATCTCGGCAAGCCGTGAACTCTGAACACGTGGTCTATGAACAGCTTGGCGGTTTGTTCCGCCGTGGCCACCTTCGCGCAAGGAATGAAATGCGCCATCTTGGTGAACAGGTCTACGACCACGAGCACCGCTGTTTTGCCTCTCGAGCTGGGCAGATCTGTGACAAAGTCCAGGGCCACTCTCTCCCACAGTTCAAACGGCGTCTGAAGCGGTTCCAGCAGTCCCGCCGGCGCCCTGTGTACTGGTTTGGCCCTTTGGCATGTGTCACATCGAGTGACGTAGTCCTCAACTTCACCCCCATCTTGGGCCACCAAAAGTCTCTGGCTACTAATTCCGCTGTCTTGTCCTTGCCGAAATGCCCAGCGCTGGGTGCGTCGTGTAACTGCTGCAGGACTTTCGCGCAGAGGTCGTCCCCCGGCACATAGAGCGCCCCTCTGTGGAGGAGTAATCCGTCGCGTATCTGGAACTCTCCGTCCTTCGCTGTGCCTCTTTGCACCTCCTCCATCTTGGATCGTGCGAACGAGTCCGTCTGCAGCGCGCGACGCTCCGCGTCCAGGTCCACTGTGGCTGAAGCGCACGCCCACGCTTTCGGTGCGAAAATGTGCTTGGCCGCCACCGGTGCCGCTTCCTCGAGATACTGCGGCTTCCTGGATAGTGCATCTGCCATGACATTGTTGTCTCCCGGGATGTATTCTATCCTGAAGTCGAAATCCACAAAGAACTCCGCCCAACTGTCGCATATGAAACACTTCCTGCTCCCTCTAGGAGTCTTCGTTTTGACTGCTCCTGGTGTTAGGGCTCTGGTCGTTGTCTGAGCCTTAGCACCACCCAACTCCATTGGTTCTTCTCCCTCCCCCAGGGGAGGCGTGGTGTGCGCGCGCCCAGTTTCTCTGGGTATGAAGGGAGGTGCTCTGGCCGGTGTGCGTGCCAGACGACCCTCATCCCTGTTCCAGGGGCGTTCTTCCCGCCGTACCCCTATCGTGAGCGCTCTCTGGACGACTTCTGCGGTGGTGCTAGGTCTGTCGCCCCTGGCCAGCTCATCTTTCACGGAGGCATTTAGCCCCTCCCAGAACAGATCCCTCACTGCCGCAGAGTCCTTTTGCCAGCCCAGCGCATTTACCAATGCAAAAAATCGGGAGTGGTATTGTCTCACCGTTGCCTTGCCCTGCCGCAGTTCGTGCATCTCCCTCCTGGCCACGTCTACATCTATGGTTGATTTAAAACAAGCGTCCATAGCCGCGATAAAAGCTTTTGAATCTTGGAGGGCGGGATCATCTTCGCACCATAAATTGCGCAGCCAGGATTTAGCTTCCCCATGCAAGTGAGTTATGATGAATCCCACTTTCTCCTCCTCATCTCTAAAGTCCTTTTGAAGCAATCTTAGCACAAAGACAATGTCTGCTCTGAAGTTGGGATACTGTTTCAGGTCCCCATCGAAGTGGGCGACTATACTGCCCCCCCTCTTGCCGAGGCCAACTCCCTCCGATCTGGGTCCCTGCTTGTACAAATGTTCCCACCTGGCTTGTAGATCTTTGCAGCGCGCTTCTGCTTCCTCTTCCCTCTTTCTGGAGGTTGCTACTTCTGCGTAAAGGTTGGTGACTGCCTTCTGCAGTTCTGCCACTTTCGCCTCAGTAGTCATGTCTGCCTATCTTCGTGAGCTCACAAAAAAAAATTTTTTTTTGAGATGGAGCTTACTGTCATAGCTGCCTCAGGTCCCAGCTCACAGAGGACCTACGCCAGTATCTCTTTATATACAAAAGTCTTTATTGAAGTTCATTATTGGTTTTACAGCCGTGGCGCGCAGCCCTACGTCTGAAACCCTAGACCGTCGAAGCTCCATCTGAGTCTCCTCCCCCTAGACACCAGTTTAAGACCCTAGCCTTGCTCCACCTCTTCCTCTGCTCCCTTTTCCTCTGGGTCCGCCTGCCCGCCGGGGTTTCCCCCTTTCTGGACTCTTCTGACGCTGACTCCCCCGAGTCTTCCCCCTCCCTCCGGCGGGCTTTAGGACCTGGTTCCCAATCCGGGCTTTCTGCTGTCCCGCGCGCCTGTACATTTGAACTTGGCGCGTGCGCCCAGCCTGCCACCTTCCTTCTGACCGTTATACTGCTTCTGTCGCTGCTTGCCGGAGGAGAGGCTGACTCTGACCTATGAGACTCTTCCCCCCCACTACGCTCCAGTGGGGAAGCTGGCCCTGATTTCCAGCTACTGCTCTGGGAGTCTCCGCTGGCCCCCTGCTTCTGGTGTGTCCTCCCTGGGACCCCCCTTGCCCTGGCCATCGGCGCTCCCTTCTGGGAATCATCTGATTCACTGGAGAGGCTCATGGAATCTCTCGGGTCACTGTCATTCTGCCCTCCGCTGCCCTCAGATTCTTCCCCTTCGCTCTCCATTTCCTCTCTCCCCTGCGCCTCTGCTCCTGAGCCCCTGACAATATCATTAAAGAATGCAAATCTATTAGCTATTGAAGGATGGGATAATATAGTGGGTTAGCACAGCTATTTGGGCTACAATAAAGTTAGACTACATAAAGGATTTCTTAATCATATTATTAGAAAAGCACTTTATGAAGTCTGCGAAAGAAAAAAAAATTGTTGGAGCCTAAACCCCCTTGGTGGCTTTCACCAATGGAAGCCATAG